TGTATTCTTATGGATAGCTAATTTTCCAAATTAAACACAAAAAGCAAATATTAGTGTCAGTTTGTCCGGCAAGTGTGCAGATGGAATATTTTTCGATAAAATACTAAAATGATGTAGGTGTCTAGCTGAATAACGAACTCATTCTTTCCGGAGGAATTTAAATAAAATAATCGTTGCACAGACTGGATGCATCATTTCTGGCAGCACAAATAATACAAATACACTTAGCAGGTTGTGGTGGACAATGTAGAATAGATTATACCGGGCAAAACGCGATTGCTTGAAAAATGCCGTGAGATGACCGGAGGGAGTATTATAAAATAATAGTTTAAACAACTAGAGCGAAGAGAACTTCTGGTTTAATGTGACTCCGCGGGGTATGCACATAAACACGTATGCAGATCTGCCCATCGTGACGTAACGGAGAGGGTTGGTAACCACAATGTTAGCGATAACGCGTTTTCGATGGAAACTATTAACTCGCGTAGTGTAAATCGGATAGACTTCTGTCCTATCTATTTCTAAAATACATTAGTTTAAGCACGAAAGTAACGTGAGAATAGTGTGCATTCTATTTTCTGGATACCCGAAAGGGGAAAGCGTTCTTTCCGCCGTCAATTCGGCTGTATTGTGTTACCAGTTTGTGTTGTTTGCCCTTCCTTTTGGGATTGTGGCCGTGTAGCAATGGCTCGCGACAGGCGTTATTATGGTCAGTCAGAAGTTGATACATCATAGTAGTGTCACCTCGTAGGCGTCGGCATTCGCCCACGTCCAATCCAATGTTTTGCATTCAGTGTTATTATTTGAAATGATATTATCCTCTAATTATCTTCGTCTTCATAACTCCTGGTGCTACGAGCGCCTAAGCGTCGTATTTGCGGCAAAGTCGCTAGGCGTGAAGCGCCTATTCCATGTGAGGCCAGACGTAGACATTCAGCACTTGTGAAAAATTAGTGAAGAGCTTTCCGAAAATCAGCTTATGAAATGCATGTGCTGGCTAGATTGTCGCCATGCCTTTTTAGCCTGTTTCTAGCAGCCAAGTTTGTCCTGCACCACTTCTTCTAAGTCGCTTTCTTTTGTACAAATCAATTTGTAAAAGCACACGGATTTCCAATGCTCGGAACTTTGTATTTTGTAATGTTAAACTGGAGCCGTTTTCCGGGTCGCATTAGACGGGCCATCTTGAGATTACTTTTTGACTTCAACCGTGGCATATTTGCAGTTGTAATTGGTGGATTACGTAATATTTAAATGGTATAGTTATATGTAAAATACTACTGGTATATACTTGCGGTTATTCGTTGCGTAAATTATCATACAATCCCAAACACTGTAATTCAAAAAAATCGGTAGGTTCTTTCAGAAATCTATATCTTGTGGTCACAATTAAGCAACAGAATGCGTTCTTATTTAAGCTCGGAGAATCTGAATGAGAGATACTTTCATTATAATTGCAACATGCGTTTTTATCATTCGCCTGCTACCTGTAGCTGGTGTGTTTTTAAAGTGGAAAAATTGAAGGCTATATTAGAGGGTTACTTGCGAATGACTCTATTTCAATGCATACCCTTTATCCGAAATAAATCACTGCATGAAAGTCTGACGGCATTTAGTATTTAATATATTTTTTTCCACTTAACATCCAAGAGCTTGTAAAATCATCATACTGCTTAGGTTAAATGACATTACGAGAGCTACGCTAAAATATTTATGATTGTTTAATGGTTTCTGTTTTAAAACTGAAGGAACTTATAAACATTTGATTAAATATGTGTCAGACAACTTCTAAGTACGGTTTATAATCGTAAGCCTAACCACCGCCAGTTGAATTACCGATAATTAAAGGCAGGCAATATTGCATGTTAAACGTATATCTACAATAAACTGTGATGACGCTATTATTGTAATTTGATTATTGCAAAAAACTGCAATTGCATTACTATATTATTTATACGTATCTCCGTGAAGTCCACACTGTTTCAAACATGCTTGAGAAGTATTGTTAGAAATAACTAAGCAAATTCTTGATTTATAAAGGTTTGATTGGTGAAAATATATTCTCACACATATTCTTTATCAGGATGAGGACCCTAATCGTCCTCCTGTCTATGTCTGGGCGCCCTGGCAGTATCTCAGCCCACATACAACCATGACATATACCGCAAACACAAACTTCCTCCTGCATTGGCTGTCGCGCAGATTAGCAAGCGTTAAATTATTCTTTGCAGGGCGGATAAGCAAATATATGCTACTGCTGGTGTCTTCCTTCCTTCTTTTCCACCTTTATCTCTTACTCCCATCCCGACCCACATTAATAAAATTCCGTCTATAATTCCCAGTTTATTTGAGCATCAGTTCAAATAGCTGATATACTACTGCTGCTGTCGTTATTGGAAGTAGTCAGAATCTCATCAATTTTGCACGGGTGTATTCTCACACCGATTTTACATTTACAGTACGTAGAGGCAGCCGTTTGCGTTTTTGAATCACAACCGATGCGAAACATCTCGCCCAGGCTTATTCAAATTTAATATAAAAAGATCTCGTTCGATTAAACATTTTCCATTTTTGTGACTTCTATCTGTTTGTGTATCCTGCTGAATAAATCCATCCGACTTGAATGTTTATATACAAAATTCTTGCTTGGACCCCGTCGCATATATAGACAAGTGAATGTAACCAATCATCTATTTGTCTCAATTTTAAAATGCTTTAGAGAAGGCCAGTAAGTGAAATACAAAATTAATTTCCTGCCCTGTCCAAAAAATGGCATGCCGTAACCATACGATCTGAACTACTAACCGACAATTTGCTTCATAATGGAATTTGTCTGGGTTTACGGAAATATTGACCAAACTAGCTCAGCGAAATTACGTGTTTGAACTTCCATTGTTTCTCTAGTGATGTGCTCACCTTCGGCAAATACTGACCTCAGAATTATTTCGTACATTGTAGTGGTTATTCAGGGAATGTTATCTTCTGCTGATAACGGCTTAAGCATCACTCAACTTGCCTATATTTTGTAAATAATGTATAACTGCTGTGTTCCAGTTATCAAGGTTAATCAGGAACCTGAGTCAGTGCACAGTTAATTACATGCCTAAAAGCTAACAGCTACCTTGCGTTAATTTTCTTATACAGTATAAATCGATAGTAAGAAGTAAATTAAACTCAGTTACTAAGGGAGTTTTGTTCGACAACATATATAGTATAGAGTATAGTATAATATAGTATATATATAGTATATGATTCGAAACGTAATATAATGTACCGGTTTATTTAATCATATGCCCTCCTTTAAGCCATCCATGGCTTGGACTTGGGTTACATTTTGAATTGAGAAATAAACATGCATGAAGTTTAGTGGCCTTCTCCAAATACTAACAGTCATCTGTTTTACCAGCGTATCGTGAAGTCCAAAGCTGGGTTTCTACATAATCTATAAAAACGGGAGTCACTAATCAGATTCAAAAAGACGTCGCTAACAAGTTTGTGAAGATCGAAGGCAGTTTGCATCAAAGAGGTATATCAAACAATGATGTAAGCACGAGTAAATATTACGACAACATGATTTGGCAACAATTTGAAAACAAGTTTGATGTCAACAGAATTTTCAGCGATGTAGCTGCCTTCTGCTATGGTAGCCAGTTCCATTCTTATCAGCCCCATATTAAACTGTTGGGAGAGCATCGCAAACGCCTCAGTTTCAATGACTGTGAACTAAAAGAAAAGTGACTAAACGCCTCCTGACTATGAAGGTCGAAATGCACTTTGCTGCCAAAGGGGGCTGAATTATGACGAAATGCTTTTTAAGATTTAGCATGCCCGGAAATTTGTCAGGGCACCAACGGTGACGTCCACAATTTTCGTGTTCAATACACGAAGAGCATTTCAACGATTCACAAAAAGACCAAAGTATATTTTCAAAATTCTTAACTTGTGATTCATATTGACATACGATATGGCATGAACTAAAACCAAGCATAAGAATCGCGCAATAAGAAGCAGTATCGAAAGTGCATATTACCATCAGTGGCTATCTATTTAAAATACTATCCACTTGTTGGGAGGGCTTGCAGCAGCCTTTTGCTACACTGCGGAGATCAAAGCATTATATCCAACAAATGTTTGTGATTAGAATATATGAAGGAAAAATCAACAGAGTTTTGAATGCACAGAAGAAGCTTGTTAGGCTGGACGTACTACTGGCTCCGACGAAGTCTAAGATGGCTGCAGCGATAAATAAGTTTAGAAGGTTTACTACTTGGGTTTATGTAAGACTAACCAATATTCCCCAGCAACGTACATTGCAGATGTCAGTCGATATCTAGTAGACTACTCTAAGCTTGCTAAATAACGGACAGAGGAACGAAAGCTGCTTTCTTATATTTTAGGTGGTGTTAGATGGTGGAAAGACCGGATTAAAACTCGTGGGGAAATAGGCGCCGTTTTCACAACTGCACAAATATGCGTGAAAATAAAATTAGTGGTTTTCGCCAAATATCGCTGGGAACAGTTACTATAGCGAAATCAAAAACAAAATAGAAACATAATTGCAATAATAACAAGCTTGGAGTCCTAGCAATAGTCGACCACCTGTCACTCATTTGTGTTATATGTAAAAATTCTGGCTTGCTTAACTAACTAGAGCAAACAGCCATAATTATTTTACCCACATTTAAGCAAATTATCCAAAGTTAAACTTAAATAAAAAAGCGGTTGCTAATTTCTCGTAAGCCCCAAAGAACATAACATCCTCCAAACAAAAATGGACTAATAAAAATTATCGCTCTGCACATGAATATCTTAATGCAGTTTTAAAATTAACTATTGCGATATAAAATTGATACCTTAGGCAATATTTTCAAACTTTTACAAACATTTGCCTAAGTTTGTCTTCTTCGACAGCAATGTGACAATGGTTTGCACTACATGGTTACCAATTCTGTTTATTTGTTAACTTCCTGTTGTGATATGACTAGATAACAAACAAAAACATTATGCATATACAACATTCCTCTTTTCTAGGAAATGCCTCATTCGGAGATTGTAAGCGACATTGCCCCGCATAAGTAACAGTACATACTGTAAATTCGCGCTATTTAGCCCTTAGAAAAACATCTTTAATTTAACACTTATTTCTAGTTTTAAAATAGCGTGCTATCCAAATGTTGAATTTTGACTTCCATGTGTCAGAATTAGCAAATATAATTAAACGGGATATTTTCAAAGAGCATCACAATTTTGTCTAGTCCAGCTTGTTCCAGTGAAAGCTTTTTTAAATCTATTTGGTTAACAATTACTTTCCATGGCGTATATTTGAAATAATATACTGTCTAGAGCAGCAGCATTTTATGCGGTGACTCTCAAAACGCTTAGGAAAGAAAACGGTCCTTTAGACTGATGATCAGAGCGCCGTAAGTGATCATTTTGTACTCATTTACCTGTTGCTGAGAAGAAGATTTGGGACCGATTTTGTTCAATTAGAACTCTTTTCAATGCAGCCTTAGGGTGTTTGTAAATACCACCATCACCGGGTGAAAATATATTTCCAAACAAAAATTGTGCAGTACCAAAGACATACAGCGACACGAAGGTTTCAATTTATGTGATCGAAATTTTCCCAAATGTCTGACTTGGATTCCCAATAACAAAAAGGCGGTCCATCACGGTGAAAGGTCTTTTAATTAAGCTATAGAGAATAAAAAGAAAAGATCGGCATTGTCAATGGTACATTATAATATGTACTCACATATTTTTAGATACATAACTACAGGTCTTGCCTTATTTGTTGTTTTCGGTAATTCACGAAAACACTCAAATTGAGCGACACGCAGTCAGTCTGTGCGGGCAGTAAAGGCATTATTATGCGCACCCTCTTCTTTAAGTGGAATAACTTAAGACTTTGGACAGCACATGTCAGAAGCGACGGCAAAATGTGCCATGGATTCTATTGGAAAGCAACACACACCAAATATAATTATTTCTGTATGATGTTCCGCCCCATCCATGTATAAACGATCCTTAGAATCAGATAAACGTGATTAATGTAATGCAACAGCTAGCACAAAGTAGCCAACACGTTGAAAAATCCTTGTTGTATTTATCATAAACAACACGCTTTCAAAACTCTAGATACTTACCTTGTATTAACTTATTTACTTCAAATTTAGATTTAGCACAATGTAATATGTCAACTATTTTCCTATGTGAAGAAACCGATTCATATTTTTACTGAAACCTACAAAAGCCGCTGTTACCATATAATTTATTGTCTAAATTATATTTCGCTGTTCGCATCTGCACGGTTTGAAATGTTGCTTAGTGATTCTTGACTACCCCGCATTCTCACTATTAACAAAACAATCGCCTAACTTGTACTTGCTCTTGGTAAAATACATTCAGTCATAGTAAGCTTAACCTTTTGTTCCGAAATTTAAATGCAACCAATAATATTTTACATCCTAGGTTCAGGCGCGACTAATATATCACAGTCAACGAACCATAAGGTGCCATTTCATCAAAATGATTCCTTGATAAGCGGCTCATGCGACCTCTGCTACTTGACACTTTCTACACGGTAATGCATTGGCAGATAAGGTAGTTTTTAATACTACTGCCGCAGGTCGATACTAAATAGAGCAGGATGCAGTATGTGGCTAAATCAATAAAGCTTAAAACAAGATGATCAAGCTTTTGTAATCTTCGTTAATATTTGAAACAACGGTTAAGGTACTTTTTGAGTGTCCTTAGAATTGCAAAACACGCGGTATAAATTTCAGGGAAACATGCTTGACTGATCATTGACAATCATTAGGTGCCTTAAGATTCTTTAGGTTTTTTGATACGAAATGCAGCAACTAACGCGTGAATGCTGTTTGCACCAATGGATCAATGGAAAGATGCATAATTTAGAAAGACCCAATAATCATGCCTCGGTAGTTGGTTTAGGTATCTACGAAAGAAGAATCATGCAAGTGATGGGTCTCCGCGCTGTTCTCTGCCATCACTGGCCGTCAAAATTAACCGGTTTATTTCTGATTCGGATTCGACAGTCAGAGATAGCCCGATCTGGGTGTGGAGCTGGGCACTTTGTGGTTGACGTCCATCGCCGTGATTACTAGGCCATTGAGCTCCGCGTTCAGCGCTTAAACCAGCTGTTAGAATATAAAGTTTGCGTTTGAAATCCATGCAGATTGCTGAGTTGCGAAATAACGGAAGCAGAAATTTATGGGATTGAGTAACATGTTGTCTAGTCCCTTGCCATATATTCAACATGCCTGTTTCAGTTCCGAATACATAATTCACATGTGGATTTGCGCACCTATGGTACACTATCATATCTGTCCGTTGCGTGTTTTTCAGTTGATATGATGATAATCATGAGTAAGATGGCTACATTGCTTGCATGATAAATTTGTCATTACGCAACAACATTTTGTCCGTTTAGATTCATTAAATGGAATAATGTTAACACTTGTGTTTACCGTAATGCCGAGCACAGTATCCTCATCTGAAGCCTCAGTGATCACAATGTTACAGCGTCGTTAGTTTGGTTTATTTTGAATAGTTTGGCACATTTTATTGAAATTGCAAGCGCTTACTTACGTCCATAGTTTTTAGTTACAGAATTCCCACCTATTTACAAAGGTATACTGCAACTGCAATATATGAGTTAAATAGCCTCCACAGGATTTACGAAAAAATCCAACGGCGTATAGCGTTGCTAATCAGAAGCTATTTGAAAAAGATATGTCAAAACGACAGGTAACGTTTTTTATTGTTTAGCACCATAATTAGTTACCCCATGTATTCAAGCGCTGTATGTTTGCCAAGCAAATATACCATTGATTACGTCTAGATCGTTGTAACTCAGCAGCGTGTCCTGAAGAATAATATTTTACAGTTGCTGTGAAGTCTTCTCCACAAATTTAACATCTGTTATACAACTATACAATTTTGCATTACCCATCTTACGTATAGACACAAGTTACCAATGTTTTATTAAATTGCCGCTGGTCTATAATTAAACAATGTAGGGGAGCAGGACATTAAACACGGTGTGTTGCGTTTAGTATTATTTATAACGAAATAAAATGCAAACACACACAGTATGGTATTAGTCAGGAAACTGAACAATATAGAAAGAAATGCAATATGGGAAACCAGATGTAACCTTTTTGTGAGTCGATTAGCCACGCAATAATAAATGATGTGAAACACTGCTGCAAACAGATGAAAGAGTTTTATTGTATGTAGTGAAGTAATAAATTATTAATAATCCAAGCAAAGTTAATAACATAATACTTGCAAATTTTTAAACCAGGTGATCAATATATCAGACTTTGTTACTTTGCTACGTATTGAACTCCCATGTTTGCGCTTTAAATTATATGTGAAATCTACATAATGCAATATAAGCTCTTTAAAGATTATGCAAGTACATGAAGCGATAAATACATTCGTCGTATCTTTAATTTGCAAAGCGGACTAAGAGATACTCCAAATTGTCAAATTATATTGGTTAAGTGAAATTCATTCTAGGGTCCATGGTGATCGAGATTGCGACTGCGCGATGCTAACAACCTACACAAATAGTGCTTTGTGGTGCTTCCCCAAAAATATGCATATAACTAGAGCAGAATGCTTACAATGCCATAAAACGTTGGATAGTATGTGTTAGGTTGGTTGTTATTTACAGAGCTACCATTTCCTCCGCATGGCAGTGATTTACAAGTCGGTTAAGATGCATAGATGCTATAGCATACCCGATAGCTTATTCATGCCAGAGGTCGCCTCTTCTCTTAATTCATTAGTCTTAATTTAAGATTAATAAAAGTAGGGCTGCAGCTTATATCGCCAAAGAGGCCAAGTAGAATGCGCATTGCTAAACGGTTATCGAAGGAGGAAATAATAGTCTAAACAGCTTCAAGTCAAAGGCCGACTATTTGAATAAGCCTAGAAATAACGAAGTGCGATTCAATAACGAAAAATTACTGGATTTACGTACATTATGTACATAATGCGCAGGAGGGTTGTGTTTTGTAACCAGACCCATCTTCTATTTGATTTTTAGCAAATAATATAATGGATAACCTGGGTGAGTTAATAATATACGTTGGCTTTCAGTAACATCACTATAATAAGCCAATGCCGTTATCTTGAAAATATTATAAAATTTCATTACAGCTGGCGAAACTAAGAAAGGTAAGGGTTTATTAATGCACCTAAAGACTGTAATCCGTCGCAGCAAGCAAATTTGATCTCGTATATATATTGCAAAATATATGCGCCTAAAAATAATCTGGGAACTGAGAAATTGCAATCCTAGGCGGTTGTTAAACACTATTCTTGCAATGTAGCATACGCTTGCATAATCATATCGCGAGCAGTCATTTCCGTTTTACTTATATTTTTATATTTTACTAGTATGTTGGTCGCATATTTTAACAACGAATGGTTGGTAGCTAACCTTTTGCTTCGTTATCTTAACTGAGTAATTTAATGACAAATGTTTCAAAACTTCCCTCCGAGGCATCTTCAGTGCACTGCACCGTATGGGGAAATCTCAAGGAAGTGACGTCGGGACGTAGCGTTTGAAATTAGCCTCGTCGTTCTGCGTCCCGTGACCTTTGTTTGTTCAATGTTTGGCAGTCCAATTGGGCGCATTCTCAGCTGTAGGTACACGGGATGGATCCCGTGGTACCTATAGACTGCGGTGTGGTGTTACCAGTCGGCCTCAAATCATTGATCTGGAGCTATCATTCACGCGATGGAGCAGAAACATTCCAAAATAACGAGCTGTGTCTCCAGCTTTTTGAGAGGTTCAACTGAACTTGTATCGTCTACCATGGTACACATTTTCCCAGTATATTCGTCTTTTTTCATGGTCAACACTCCAGTGTGTATAGTGGGTTTCATTACGACTACCTTCAAGACATGTCGTCTAGGTAAACCCTAGAGGTGTCGGTCTGTGAGAAAACAGGTTTTACTAGGTTTTACTAGCTTTAACTTTAATGGCGAACCTAATGCATTTGCTTCTGATTCACATGAGCTTATCAAGCCTGGTGAGAAGGAACTGCTAAAACTGACAAAGAAGAATACTCGAATTGCGCTTCTATAAATAATCAGTTCAAGTTACTAGGAGGTACTTTGAAATCAAGTCCAAATGGAATAAGTTCCAAATGAAATGTGTTGGATTATACGCACGATACGTTCATCACACACGTATTGGAATCAGGAGGAGTTTGTTCCTTTTTCTAGTTGTTTGCCATTAAAATGTCTAACCAACTAGTCTAATTTTGCCTTGTCCTATCACGTCGGTGTTAACAATCAGACAACACCAAGGCATGTATTTTACCACAGGTAGTAAGAATACACTAGTTTATAGTGCTACAACAAATCTAGTCTGAGCCTTCTTTAGGTGCGTCGATGCTACAGTTTGAGGTTAATTCAAGAGAACGTGAGTTTGTGTCTGCGCAGCAGTGATAGAATGGGATGAGAATGCGACACACAGGAATACGTTTCGTGAGTTGCTGCCCTTATAAGTCCGCATGCTATATGCACCTCAGGCTGTAATTGCAGCGAAGCAACATGAGAGTTCTAGAAGGAAATCCGTTGGTCGATATGTTTTTAAAAACAATATAGTTCCTTCAACCATTTAAAATACTGTAAGAAGAGGAAAACTGGTAGATGGATAAATTTCGGGTTGAGCGCTCAGTACAATCACCAAAACTGGAGATGTTTGTTTATAGGTAGAGTGGGCTGCAACCTGACAAGTCGCGAACAATGTCAGCGAAAATTACGAATGTGTTTATTTGTGATGGTACTGAGGATTCTATAGTAATGTATACAACTACCAGTTTTAGTGTTTATAGTGCGTAGTACAAACACTTGAATAAACTAGTTGCTTTATTTGCCTACACCTATTTGACCACATTCGACAAAAGCAGTATTGTACTTTAGTAATGTCGCAATTAATTCGACCGATCGAAACTCGATATTTGTTTGCAATTCTTTACTCTACACCAAAACTCTCGGTTGCGTCGCCATTATTTTCATACCAGCTTATGTCAATGATTAGTCAGTAGGAATGAAAGCATCTAACAGCCTTAGTCTACCTACAGTGCGAAACAATCCTGTTGCGTATTTTACGGTGTTATGCTAACCGCAGCTTTCTTTTTAAGTGTTCTTTGGAACGTTGCACCGGTTTGAAAGTGGTTCCCAAGTAGCCTAAAGACTACCTCAACATGCGATCAAAGGTGTGATTATCAATATTTTAAAAGTTATCCGTAAATCTATACGCAGCTGATGGTTATCTTGTAAGCACGGAAACGATAGATAACCAACCTGTCGCTGCCACTCTTTGTGTGATTTTGGTGGCCATGTTTCATGTCAGATAACCTGCCTTGCTTAAGCATTCAGTCACCTTTCACGTCACCAAAGATAAGGATAGAGTTAAAAAGCAAGACAAACATTTTTAAAACTGCACAGATTGCGTAGATGATTTCCAGTCTGATTAACTATATCTTAGGGTGCCGAAATGCAATGACACAACGGCTGTGATAAAACAATGCGTGTTTGCTAAATATTTACTTTCGGGAAACACCAAATAAGGTTTCAGGGCCTAGTCATACACCTCCAGGTATATGAGTACTTACATTCGGTTGTTCAAGTTTTCCTAATTCCTCTGTTTGATCACTAAGGAAGTAACTGTAGGACGATGGGAACCAGTAGTGTTCCTACTTCTGATCAACAATACATTGTGCACAATCGGTTGGTATTGTTCATATAATTCAGAATGAAATCTTGGCATAAAACAACGCAACACGGCTTCTTCAATTAATGCCGAAATAAATGGACACCTTGGCGACAGGTGCCATAATTATTACTGCTTTATGTAGCGTTTGTACTTTTCGGAAGGTCCGATTTAGCACGCCTTAGATACGGAAACAAACCCAGCTTACTTCCAAAGGCCGAGAAAATAATAATGAATATTTATGTATGCCACAATGAACCCATTATTACCCACATGACAATCGATCGCAACGCTACTTCCGCAAGACTTTCATAACACAAATCTTAATTAACTAATAAAAAGTGTTACCTTCATGAAAAGATTGCAACTGAAGCCGTCATTCTTCTCCTATCTTAACAGAATACTCCGGAAAGCCTGAAGAAAAGACGACAAGTAAGTAACATTTTTAGACAACGAATTTGATAACCATTTTTACAGAAGTAGACTGATCTTTTATGTAAACAACTGTACACAATAGAAAAGAAAATATTCGTGCATTAACATGTTTACTACACAAAAGCTCCAGCGAGTTTCTGCAGTCATTTCCATTCACGAATTTCAATAAAGAGGGCAGAAACAACAATCCAACTGAATTTGCAGAATTCAGACATTTCGAGTATTTTCCTCAGCGGTTTACTTGCAAGTAGTGGAATACACAGGCTACATATCAGACAATCAAAGTGCGAGGTTATCGGAAAACAATTCAAATCGGTCGAAGGCTTTTAACCCACGTGACCCTTTTCGGGGAAAACACGTTCACTAGCACACCAGGAAAGGGCTATCGTGGTCACGAAGTACGTTTGATAACACGTATTTGGTTTCAAACGTCGAATTGCTGACACCTTCGAAACTGAAGTAAGCAATGATTAGCTTGTTTACGAACTACCCTGAATTTGCAACCAGAGGCTTTGACATTCAGGATATCCAAAAAGGTGTGAGCAAGACAGCCAGTCGGTAGCTTCGGGCCATTAGCGACCATGTTTCGCGAAGCATGCTCTGCAATCCTTTCTGACATCCATCACTAAGTTCGGTCTATGTACTTGCATCCGCCAGTACAATTAAAGAGGTAAATGTGCAAGGCGGTAAACTGAGAGTCGGGTCCGTCCAGTTGGATTTATAAATTAAACTTCAAACTTGATGCTATTCCAATAGCTAAGCCGCATAGTAACCCTTCCTGCTCGAATGACGGTGGTGCCGGTATCTTCTGTCAACTTGATCTCCTTTTAATGGCAGAGTAATTAATACAAATTACTTCGGGACATCGGATATTGCTTTATCACTGGGTTGTATCTTTGCGCGCCGTGCTCTGAATCCAGGAAATGTAGCTTAATTGTCAAGAGATCTTCCCGTAAAACGCATCAAAATAATGCGAAAAGGATTTGACACAAAATAGTGTCACGCGCACACTAGCAGGATTTTAATCACAGTAATCATGGCAAACATCAGCTCACGTACTCTTCGTTTCCACTGGTTTAAGATACCTGTTACTTATGAGTAAGAAAATATTACCCGTAAATTTAATATTTTTGTCCCAGCAGCATACTGGCTAAATAGCACAGCCTAATTTGGAAGTATAGTATAGTGTGAGGAAGCCATGACCTTCGGAGGCTAGCCACTGTCTTCTGCTATGTTTGCAACCTGCCTAGCACTGGAATATAGATCGTGTTATATATTATGTTAGCCTGTAGGTTAGTTATCATAGGCCACGTCCCCATGGCTCAGTGGTTTCAGCTGCTGGCTATTTGGCATCTGCCTTTAGTTGTCATTGGTCTATCCCCAATAGGGGACCGAGGGAATCCGCAACAATAACGAGCCACAGTAGTGCAAAACGCCCCTGACGCCTTTCCGGAATAGACTGCGCTATATAGCATGTGAGCAGCTGGGAAAAAATAAGTAAAGCTATAAGAACTCTCATATTTTTCCACATTTATAGCGCCACTTATAATACACTAGTTTCCAAAAAGCGCTAAAAGTCGCCTGGCAGTAAACATTTGGGTAGGGACCAGATGAGCAACCGAATTATAATTGTCGCCAACTTCCCTCCATCCACTCGGTTAAACTAGTCAGTTACACAAACTAGCTGTCAGCCAGTTGTGTGGCTAGCGCATTTCGGTGTTGTTGCGTATCACGTAGCAACCTCCAACTGTCTTGTTGTGCAACGGTGAAATATACTTATGCAAATCCAACATTACTGAGTAAATGTAATCCATTGTAATGCGATTTCTTTTTGCTTCTAGCATTTTACGGCAGTTTAACAATGACCCATTCAATATTCGTTCGCCAAATTTCACCTGGATACTAGCTTTTTACTAGGATCGGGTAGGAAGAAGTAAAAGACGCCACGATTTCAATCTTTGTTTGATTTCGGTAAACATTGCATTCTGTTGGTCTAACTAATATGCCTAAAGTATTCTTCAACTATTAGGCTAATGAAAGAAAAGAAAGAATGGAAAAAAGCAATCCGAATTTGACATTGCACTGACTGTGTAAACGCATAATTAACCAATAGCAGAGATGTTTGGACGCTCAAAGGTAATTAGATATTCGCGGTAACCAAACAAACCATATACGGTAAAGCTCTTATAACCGATTTCGTGCCTGACTCTGTGGCATATGTCACTCTGTCGTTGGAGTAATTTTTTGGCTTCGGATCTGGTAAGATCCTGCAAATGCGTGATGCTGACTATTCTTAATGGGACAAATCGGTCGTGTACCATTTCCTGTATTTGCGGTGTTAGTCTGGCTGAGACTAGCTGCGATGAATCATTTTAAAAGCATTATTATACAGCTTCATACTACTCTGCAATGTGCGGAGCCTTTGGTTACCTGGATAGGTGCTGACACTGCCTAATTCGTATGTAAGCGTTTTGCATCACTGTCATCACAGTTAAGGTAAGAGAGCTGAGTGACTTTAATTACTCACATGAGAATGTATACGGCACCTGTGAGCACGAAAACGTAAACCGATTAGCTTTCTTGAATGTAGAACTCCTCAGCAACTTGAACGGCTCATGTAGCAGAAATGTACACAGGGAGCGAAGGTGTACAAGGCAGTACATTTGATTTCAAAGCGCATTGCCTATACAGCGCAAGAGAAGTTTAATCCTATATGTCGACCTCAGGGCGTGCAGTATTAGCAGTCTGGATACCGTCAACGAAAAGCTACAGAGAATCAGGGACAGTACTGGGAAAACGGTTACCTCGATAATTTTATCATGAAACATCCGAAAAAACAAATCTAAAGTCACCTACGGGCATTTCTCCCAAGAAAAAGCCCGACGTACATTTGCCATTTAAGGGCGATACTGCAACTAATGTCTTTTCTCGAAGCCTGTAATGCACTGTTGTTTGCAAAACTTTGAAATATTGTCCGCCATCCTTGACCCGTTCAATGCTCGTTTATCAATACACGGGCCCATGTGATGCACGACACGTGCCTGGCATAGCGAGAAGCCTATCCCAGAGGATTCGCAAGCACATCTCAGCGTGGTTTTACAAAGGGAAATTAAGTCTTCAATGTGTTCACTCATGTCGCACCTACTTAAATGAGGCCATACTGCATTAGGGAATGGCGTTAACGTTATCTACTCACTTGCAGAACGCTTCTAGCTAGGACTGCGAAAGCAACTCTTGTCTATTGCCGAGGCTATTTAACTCCACCATCTAAAGCCGGAATTATGTGTAAAAAGACGATCTATATGGGCGATATTACTACCGGGACCGAGTGACAATTTTACTTATTTACACGTTTGTAACCTAAATTATTTACTTTAGACTGCTTAAGTTTATGTATTAATGTTCCTTCTGTGCACTTCACTTGTCCCTGTAGCCCATTTAATCATCGATTTGAACCATTCAAAAAACTTGGTATCAATTGCAGTCCGATTTGTAGATTACTTCATAAATCAGCGTTAGGTAAACATTTAAGTCTAACAAGTGTTTACCGAAAAACGTTCTTAACCCTAAACTGATTTCTGGTCTTGCTGCTGGTGAATGAAATGCGAATATTTGTCTTGCTGAAGAACAGCATTTTCGTGATTCGTTGAGATTTTATTAGAAAATACAATTTCTCATCCAACGTTGCCTAAACTTGCGAAGTTGTTTCTCATTTTGCAACGTTATGCGCGTGCATTTTGTCAACCCAAAATGTTTGTGTGCAAGATCACGGCATTTGCCAAATTAGCAAACAGTAAACTACCAATTAGCATTGCAGGACAGTCTGTAAAGGTGGTACGATTATTTCGCTTGGTACCTAACAATGTAAGCAAATATTACGAATTGTCCACACACTCAGCACCTGCCGTGAAATAACGGAGAAACACCATTTAGCATTTAACCATCCTGCAGAAGTCGTTTGTACAGGTTAATCGGTCGTTCTTTTTTCAAAGCTGCAGCGCATAAATCTAGCACTATTTGGAAAACGCCAACCAGCTCTGGCATCCAAGTTTAAAGCATGACCTAACTCCTTTGAAAATTCCCCAACATAGGTCGATTAAAATGTTACAGGAATGCTCCATCTCCTATCTTGGCATACGTTAGAAGTCACTGGGAGTTTTCAGCGAACAAACTCACCCTTTACATGGTGAACATGATTTGGTGCATCGGATCTTCTATGTTCCTAAACAACAACATTGAGAGTTTGTGAAACACAGCTACAAATTCTTCCTGATGGCACAGCCTTTGTATTTGGCCACATAATGTGACGCGCTGGACACCGAATTAAAGTTCCTACGGAAACGCCTACGGAACTTCTGTGGCTCCATTATTGCCAGCTTCCAAAAAACGAATTAGTTTTTTCTCCATAATCAGCAGGGGATTTTTCCAAATGTAATCGAATACAGCTTGACGGTAAAAGAAACATTAAGACCTGTGAATCTTAATGTAATTTTAATCAAACAAGTTATTCTTTTCTACACATGTACAGTTTGGTTTTAAAAATGGAGTTGCCGAATATTTGCTTTAATACCTTAGTCTAATATATATTTCTACTGCAAATTCTGCAAGTAGCCGTTGCACCCAATCAACACCACAATCTAAGATGTTTTCTTCCAAAAGAAAAGTAAAGTTATTCCAAGTGCTGACACCATGACATTTGCAAATACTGGAGCTAAGTGCTCCACCAACGTGGATGTTCACCCAGCACAAGAGTCTAGCAATTTTTAATTCTAGCCCCTAGCGCTAACTTTTGACCTGCAGGAGTGTAGTGTTGCTTGCCATGTACAATAATATTCTTGGATCTTCTTTTCATGGTGTGTGATTTGCTGTTCAAAATTATAGTGGCTGCTTACCGTCAACATCCGGCTTCAAGTTGAGATTTCATTATGCGACTTTTGTTGCGGTTAAAACAAAGGGAGGAAATGTATCCAATAAAGCATCAAACAAGGTTACATAATTTTGTCAAGTACACCGTGATAGAATGACACCAAATTCTGGTCCTGCGTTAGTTACGATTCTACACCGCGAAAAGTTTGTTCAGTTTGCTTTGCTTGTTTGGTAGGCTCCCAAAACCACATCCAAAGGCAGTAAATATTTCTCAAGATAAGCCAATGATGGAAATTATCCTGGCACGCTCAATCGGTGAACCATGTTGAAGCAATAGATAGCAATTACTATGGTCTACCATTAGCTACTTAATGCCTTGAAACTCAGTAGTAAACCAGTGAACAAACACTATCAACAGTTTTCAACATCCAGTCTAGGAGCGACGAGGCTACGCGTCGTGTTTAATGTACAGTTTTTGCCTCACATTCACTATCGCTTATTTTCAGCATTGCTTTTGCAAATTGTGTCTTTTCCTTTCACCTTTGGAAGGGTTAGAATAAGCGTTTACACGATGACCGCAGTTATGAGATCGCACAGATATATAGTGCTTTACAACTGTGAACGAACCAAAACCTATGATGAACCGGAGATAGAGTAGCAGAACTAAATTAATTGGCAAAGTAACTTAAATATTCATCAATAAATGTTTGGATTCAGTCTTACAAGTAAAATAATAAACCTTATTTTCACTAACTAACAACCGCACGGACAATTAGATAAGGAAATACTCAAATACCTAGACTTAGAGGTATTTTTGTACAACTAGTACAATTTGATTGAATGCTTATTTTTATACAACAAAAGTTCGGTGATACTAACATCCTTGTTTGTTTAAGCTGCATGCAGCAGTAATATTTTTGTTTGAGGCTTGAAACGATACTAAGTTAGCTGATGGAATATGCCAAGATAACCATACACAACGGCACAAACCAGTGACGAACTGCAAATTTGTGTACCTCCTTTACATAGTAAATACCTTTTTCCGACCATTTGGAAGCATCCAAAGCAACAGAGCCCGTAATGTGCTAAGTGGTAAGTTAACTCGGAATGGTTCAAAGGAAATGGACAATTAACTAAAACTTCCCCATCACAGTCTCCGTGAGAACGTAAGGATAAGGAGTTCTGCGCATAGTTGTTTTTGTTTTAATTGTCCCTTGATAGACTATCACATAGATGGGCGAATCTATTGCCAGGTTGTTGTTAATACGTTAGAAAATAGACATGTAAATAACATGAATGGGGTGGGCATTTTATGTTTTGTAATAACGGTTTACATTGCCGTCCTATTAACGCCAATTTTTATGCACTTGACGAGAAGTTACTGTGCGAGAAACTCGTCCGCAACCAGGCTGGTAAACTGTTTGGTGTCTATTAATTCATCACCCATGGAGGACGACAAACCAGAAGAAAAAGTTGCGGATGAGAAGTTTATGTACCTATGCAAAAAATCCGTTATCTTCCTGCTTTTCGCATCAAGTCAACTGCAGTCAAATGACGGCATAATACTAACGCTTGCGCAAATACGTGGTCTATGAGTGTCACTCGGTACACTGAAGCAATGGATTTTTCAAGCATAAAAAGCAAACAAATCCGTTTGGCTGAGGCAAAGAATAAGACAATAGTGATATATCAAAACAGACGCCTAGTTGTGTTCTTACTGCAAGTTATAAGGGTAAAAATTGTTTTGTTAAATCATCCCGTGTTTTAGTTACTTGGGTTAAATCGAATAATGCAAGTCGAGTTTTGAATTTGGCCAAAGTGGGAACAGATGTGACAACAAGTGAAGTAAGTTATACTGCTGGATTAAACGTAAGGAGAAAATGATCTGGCCTCTACAACTGGATATGCTGTATCGCCAACCTCCAATGGTGGCCTCGCAGTGAGGTGTTATAGCTTAATGTCAATAAGGATCGGCATGCGTGGTTAAAATTCTTAAAGATTTATACACCAATATGAGGCTATTTCGCAAAAGACTACATTTTCTATATTAATTAGCAGACCAAAAGCAAATAAGATGGCTTAATATGCCTTGAATGGAACACTGGAATGCTGCTCATAAATGTGATAAAATGTTTGCGATAAGTCGCATAACTTCTAAACATAGAAAGCCGGTTAGTCCACATTGTGCTACCGTAGGTTCTATCTCGAAATAATCGTCAGTCATTTGTGTTGTTATCTACTTGTGGATAAAGCAGCGGTATCTCATTATGGCTGCAAGCATGGACAAGAAATTTGTTTATGAAGCTCAGTCACCCCAAGGTATCTTGCTGTATTTTACAAACCAAAATTTTCCTATGAAACATCTCATATTTTATCTCAAGTTTTTCGATACAGTGTGTGCATTTATAAGAAATTTTCATAATTATTTCCCTGTAAACCGATGTAGTAACCCACCATTACTTTTGCACCAACTATACTTAATTGAATTTGTCTAGTAAGGATTTGCGCATCTGTCAATGGGACGGCCGTTTTCAATCATTACATGGGTGGTCATCTAGATTCTGTACAGCGCCTACCAAAAGGCGTTACCTATTTTAACCAAAAATATAGCTTATTCTATCACTATCATAAACAAATAACAAGTTAAACAAAATCGCTTACATATAGCACAGTAAAAATAATAGTAGCTCTTTTGTGCTTTTACAAGCCACCTGAAAATTTGTATTCTTGAGGTTTTGCGAATTTTAGTGGCACAACTTAACCAGCTCCAGAAAAGTAAGTTTCAACATCTACACGCCTATATGTTAAAACACATTTAAGAACTATTTTGCATTCACATATTTAGCAGTAGTTAATAATGATGGTTCGATTAGTTAACTAAAGTAAGTGCGCGGCCCTTACATATTACCTAGATACAATCTAGAATGAAGAATTTAAATTGTGTATTTGTAAAAGTATACCATTTTTCGTGGTTTAGTTTAAAGGTTAGTTTCATGAAAGGCCGGTATATTTTAAATATCATAAAATTTCTTTACGTGGAATTAAAGGGCTATTTAAGTGCAGTTTACTTGGCGTTATTGCATCTCAACTTCCATTAATGTCTTCTTTTCTTTATACAAAACCAAATAAACGTGTTCGAATTCCGAACAGCTCTATTAGCCATTTCCATTCTATTGATATAACTACAAAATTATTAAGCACTGAATACTGTGGTAAAGAATATGAGTTGCCCACCTAGAACGTCTGTCTACACTCTACTCAATACAAGCGGGTTTTTAATACTTAACTTCCGCCCATCGGAAAACTTTGACAGAAGAATTCTATGCTGCATAACAAGTATTGATTACGTTAAAATTGTTAACCGTAGTTGTTTCGGTAAGGAATGGCGTGTTTGAATATCTTTTCACCTACGTATGGCACTCCTGCTAAGGGTGCAATTATTAGGAATGTGACGTAAAAGAATCAAACATATGCATGACAATTTTAAACGCTGATGCATGTTGCTTAAAATGACAGGAAAAATTCCAGTTTCTTACTATAAAGATAATAATTTACTGACTTTGCTTAACATTAGCAGCCGTAATATTTCCGCCTACCTAAATACTTGTGGTGTGCATACGTCTATACTTGCGTATTACACGATATTTATTGTACTGAAATGCGTGCAAGTGTTTAAAATATTTGTGATACGATAAAGTGCTACCAAACAATATATCGGAGAGCAGCAAACATAGCATGGGATGGTGAGGGATATGGCAAAACACTTGTCCTTCTGAATCAAGAAGGCTACAAAAATTATTCTTACCTGTCGGTAAGCATTGAAACAAGGCATTTGCGTAAATGTCAGATTAGTATATTTTTTGTTTTACGAAGCTTTTACTCAGTTTGTAAAGTCGACTGTGATGTAGGATGTAATTAGTGCTTAGACTGTGAAAATTGGTTTGAGCTTACAGGAACCGAAACGCGTGAACTGGGAGCCGGCTAAAGAATAAAAGTTTAAATTCGTGCAAATGGGAAGGTTAGCGCTATGAGTGTCCTCTGCTTTACTGAATCATACTTCTGGCTTTTAATTGTACCTTGAATCCTCAAGTGGCTTCTATAGATTTAAGAAGATTCCTCTTAAAATTGCGCTCAACATATGTCTAATACGTGAACCAACTCATGTGTTTATCGTTGCTGCAACCTAAAATTCACACTATTCTATGCAACAGTCTGGTTTGAGCTGCAAATGAGTAAGTCATATTTTCCTAAATTTGTGTAAATATGGATAAAAGCACCGCCATTTCATCTTGCACAACATAATCAGTTAGCCTAACGTCGATTGCGTCAAGTAGCCTTGCTTTTGCTTCAGCACTGCGATTTGCTTACCGAAGCTTTTTGGTTTTCCTTATAAATATACCTGGTTTTCAAAACAATATTTATGGAACTAGAAATTATTAGATTGTTACCGAAAACTGGATGGTAGAATGTGTGTTTGATTCACACAGTTTTGTGCATAGAAATCACCGATGTTATTTGCTTTCTACAGGATGAACAACATAATAACCTTTTTCGAGCATGTAATTTATTTATTTATTTAGCACAAATAGGGCAAACAACACAATTTTGCAATTGTTTCTAATAAATATAATTAAGAGTTTGGTTTGGAAATTCGCCTAAAATTCTGCCAACCTGAAATTGCAATCAGGATGACTAGTAGCGAATATAATTGTAGAAGTAGCTACTTCTGCATAAAATTAGAGAAAAGTAATTGAAGAAGTTAATTTTCCACCTTGCTCCTAACAAGTAAGATAATGCCTGCTATCGGTACAGTTACCTAAAGATTCCTTATTATACCGCCATTATTAAGAGTCCTCTACCTATCCAGAAATTTGGTTCACAGCTTTCTTTCTAAAACATTTGACAATAATCCCACGAGTTATAGTGTGTATCAGTGGAGCATTAAACAGTGACGGTAGTATGCATAGCAGCTATATTTTAATTAAGTTATTTTATTGCCGGCTTCTTAAGTAAATTTGCATGACAATAGCGATCGGTCAGCTACTGACAGAAAGAAATGGTAGGTAATTTAATAAGCGAAGTTCTTTGGCTCAAATGTTTTAATCAGAATTCTTTATATGTTGGCTCATCAGGTTTAGATTACCATGTAACTTGCAATTTATGTGCTCATTTCTGAAGTTTGCTGAAATAATATAACAATGGTTCAGCACAGACAAGGGTTATCTGGACTAATATTGATGTAATAATGTGTGCGGAGTTACTAGGCGTAACGTATTTATATAGCGAGCTATCCGAGGCCACAAAATATTATAACATTGTTTTATCTCAATCGTATTCCAAAACGATGTGCGTTACCGCTATTTTTAAGAAACAAAGTTTCTTAAGTAAAAGCGTAAAATTGTTGCATTAAACATGATAAATCTAGTCAAAATTACACTGTAATAGCTAGCGGATGTCAACAGCTTCCTATCTGCACACCCATATACCATAAAAGCAAACGCGCATTCAATATGTACAACATATCATTAGTTGTAGTGGCTCACGTGTAACGTGAAAGGAACTGATTTATTCTACACCATTATAAAAGCAAGCAAAATTCTATGGTAGAAAAGAAATACAGCCTAATTGTCTAAAAGCTCGAGCACCTAAAGGACGGTGTATGTGAATGACTCCGGTCTAGCCATATTTGAAGTAGCTTTTGAGCTCATGAGGTGTGAAAGCCTAACAAATGACTGCGTCCTTAACTTTAGGATAGACACACTATAGACCAGGTTAGTGACAAAGGGACGAATATGCTGAATACAAAAAGGCATTAAGCATTGCTTTTCAATGTTTGCGTGTAACACATGGATATCTTTCTTACGTTGACGATAATACAACTGAAATACTGAGGCAAACATGCCCATGGCGACGTAAATGCATTTCAGGTGGTCAACGGTTATTCGGCTTCAAGTAGATTAACACAGAAATAATTGTCTGTACTTATCAGTTTTGCGTTGTTTAGGATGCCGGCAAATGTGTGGCTTTTATTTCACATTTCACTCTGTTTTTGCAAGCTGAGAAATGACCCAATAGCTATATATGTGTTATGGCACAAATATTTCTGCAAGTGTAAAAGTTCCCTACTAGATGTTCGGCATTCATTTTAACGGACACGAACAAGCGTACTAAATGTAAATATTTCTACTTGACAGACAATTTGAGAGCAACGAGTATTTCCAATGTTATGACATTTTTAAAGACCGGAGTGGGATTAGTAGGGTATATGCATACGTGCAGTGAACCGATACAAGTTGTAACGCTCTTTTCGATTGCTTCATTGTGCATTGAAGCCGTCGTAATTGGGTGAACCAAATCAAACATTAAAAATCATATTTTTTCCAGCACATTGATCAAAGTTAAACGACAACGCTATAATTTTCTAGGTTAAATTTTAAGCAGCATGTACCAGGTCTTCGTTGTAACGTAAGCATATCTCAACCCTACGAAGATGCACATGCATGTCGCTAGAGTAAGATACTTATAACTGCCTCTTTACTGCTAATATCACATCAATTTTAGAGATTATTTGCTAGGGATATCTTATCTTTTATGCAAACCGCCATTTTTAAAGAGTCATAGCAACTTAAATTTTATACGCCATAGGATAGAACTGCAAAATATTACGACGCGTTGATACGGGAAATGGCCTGCAGGTTGACCTGGAACAGCTGGCAGGCAGTTTGCTGAAACCAAGTAGTCAACTAACAAATTCTACCATTCTTTCTAACTCGGAGCACAACCCGGTGTTGCTGACTAAATAAGCCACCAGGAGTTTCCTTACTAATGATTAGAACAGACTTACTGTTTTGCATTAAGGTGACTTTTCACTATTTACCCCATAAGTCAATGCGCATTTAAGAAGTTTGTATTGATGTTTATAACTGCAAGTAATAGTTATATTCCGGACTTTTTGCAAAGGTTATTACTGTGAAAATTAACGTGTCAAGGCGGTGCTTTCATTTCCTACGAAATAAAGTAACAATAAATTTTTGAACGCAATATATGAAACAAGATCAAATTTACACTGCTGCACTTTATTTTTGTAAGGATTTTATAGGCTCAAGCGAGGTGAGCAAAGATTATGGCATAATGTAGCAAACCAAAAACACATTTTGGAGATGCTTTTTAGCTGAAAATTTCAGTTTTTGGCTGCGCACATTTAAGTACTAAATACACACAGATTTCATTTGTTAAATAGCGGGAAAACATGAAGGCAAATGGAAAAAGGCACGATATTATATTCTGTGCGCGCTATTTATAGTCTCCACTTCGTGACCCTTTGAAATACAGGGTGTCATAAATACAGTTTTAGGAATTCGAATAATTTCTGTCTCAACTGTCGTCCACCTAACCTACAATGTGCATTTTGGAAACTGCTTCAGCGCTAGCCTTTCCCTGATACATTCTGATCAAAAACACACAAAACATCACTAAAACAAAACTTACGTTTTTATATGTTCTACATGATTAGACGCATAAATATTGTCAACCGCATCAATGTTGGACATCTTTAGTTGTTAATATTAATAGCATAACATAAGACTCGTTTGGTATCTAAACTACTACTACAGTATTTTTGGCAAGTGCAAAAGGCAACCTGATCGATTTCCCTAAACAAAACTAAATAAAATCTTGACTAAGTTTAATTTAATCCGACGTTTCTTCTGACATTTACATATTTTCTAATAATCTTTTCGGAGAAACATTTTTATTTGCACTTACTATTAGAAAATATAATGAAAATCTTCTTTTGTATAAAGTAGAAATCACGATTAAACTCCACACGAAAATCCGCCTCGACGGGGGAATCGAACCCCGGTCCACGAATTTCTGGTCCGTTGCTCTAACTCTAAGCTACCGTGACTTCTACTTTCTACGAAACTTACGTTACTCACAAACATCCTTCAGAAAATCAACTTCATAAAATAGTCTTGCTGCTGGGTATCTCCTGCTATGATTTCTCTTTTCTGGTTGTTGCAATCGCTTGACTGATAAAATGCAGATTGTGCAAATATGGCTTGCGAATGCAGGTGAACTAAGCATAAATAAACAGTTCACGATGTGTAAAAACTACTTAAATCGCAGCTTCTCTACTTGCTACTTTTAACATTCATGTTTCTATTGCTTTCGTTCAGCATGCATTGATTCAGAACTAAGTGAGCTAAAACTGGTGCTTGATGGTGCATGAATTCTATTGGTGATTTACCATATAAATCAGGAAATCGAATCACGTTCGTGATCATTTTTCTAACAGCAACCATTATCTGCGGCGGGTACCAGTTTATGTTGCCCTAAATGCAGAGCCATTTACGTATTATTCCTTTCTGAATGAAAAACGTTTACTTCCAAGTCGGGACATAGCCCCACGAGTAGGCGAATGAATGTTGTTAGCAGCTTCCAAAACCATACTCTAATTTGGTTATTAATTGAAAATTCTGAACGTTATATATAGTACTTTGTTTAGCATGTTAAGATGGCTTCACTTTGTTGCTTACAAGATGACAAATACAAAAACTTTAATAAGGCACGATAGAATAAGTAGTAAATAATTGCTTCAAGCTCCTTGTCGCCATGTATTGATCTGCTCAATGATCAAAACAAAACAGGATCCAATGACGAAACAACCTCAACAAACGTACCCTTTTGTGTGCCAGTAAACAAACACAGCCTTTAATACTTTGACTTGATATTAGACCCTTACGTTTGTCATGGATAAAAAGAGCACTGAGAGCAAAGCAGGCACAAGATTTCACCAACTTCCGTAAATTAGTGCTGTTTGCTTTGATGCTGTCATGCTTTTCTACAGGAAATAGAATAGCAGCGTCAACTGATAGACTTCCACTACTGTATTAAATTCCAATAATGTAGCGGAAAGTTTATAAGAAGTTAGGCCCTACCCGATTTGAAGAAGTTAGCCCAAACATCGAGCCGAGACCTTTGCTGTTTCGACTATTTGCGCCTGCCTTGAATTTGGTCCAATGAAACTGGTTCAAAGAGATCAGTAGGCCAGAGACCCAACATGATTTGAAGAGTGTTCAAACAAAAGCCTCTTGGATATTGTTGGTAGTAAGCACACGCGAAGTCGCCATACCATAGCTTAAGCGCAGAAACATCCTTACTGATTGGATAAATGCAGCATACGGTGGCATAAAAAACCGTATATGCGTAGCGTATTCTAAGAACTTTGGCATGTGATAAAAGGGAAGGGCCATAAGAGTATCAACACTGGCTACGCATGTATTTCGTATTGCCTCTTCAGTAAAACCGGCAGTAATTTTTGTTATTACTTCCAATTTTGTACACGATCTAGGAGGATGGGGTTGAATAGTTGGAGGTAATCTTAACCCCCATGACCACAACCAATTTAAGCTAGCGAAGCACTGTTCTTGTTCAAAAGCGCAGACTTCCTACGTGTTTTAACGACACCAAAATGTAGAAAGAATAGTTACAACTGAAGCAATGCAATTGGGAACGGTACAAATGACCAGTAGGCTTCGTTCTATTAAGGAAGCTGGCCGCCTTCAAGACTAAATGTTGCATAGAGCAAGATTGTTGAACAATTTCTTGCCAAACCTGATTAGAAGGTGTTATCTTATTCGGAATCTCAGAGACTGATCGTTTATTTTTATGTAACTGGCGCTACAATTACACACGAAATTCTGTAGGGGCGAGAGTTAGCTCTCCGGCTGTACTCTATTTTTAAGATTTCGAAGCGAGTAAAGTTCTGTTTTTAACAAACTGCGTAGACTTTGAACCACTTATTGTTGGAGAAAAAGCGCTTACTTTTCTTCAGCTTAAAAAAATGACCTACGAAACAAAAGTACCGTCAATTCTTTGGCTTGATTACTGCTTGTATCAATTTATTTGCCTCTCGGTGTTCACTGGTTTTCCATACATATGTAAGCGTAATGGTTCACCAAGGTTATAACTATACTTGACTCCAGCTAGTCAGCTGGATAATCTACCATATGATTTCAACTAGAAAATCTAAATACAATTTATAAACATTTTGTCTTCTACCGCAGCGGTGTTAGGCTGCTGTCGTGTGGGTACAAATCCGGCGCGGTGCCTTCTGGTAGGCGGGGTTCCAACTGAACTCCTGACTCCCTCATTTTCTCAGGAAGTCCAAAGAAGACGTGGACTTCTTGTTCTGACTTACATATGGCACTTAAATCAATAAGTCAACTGCTTAGTCGTTTTACCATACGTAATATCCGCAGCTCCGACGAAGGAAAGACCAGCGTGCCTTCCACAGGCCAATGTAATATTTCTATTTTTGAGACATCTATTTTTATCGTCAACATGAGGAGATTAGTGAATAGAAGCCCCAATGGCTGCCAGACAACCATCAATAACTTGACGATAGAGCAAATAATGCAAGAAGAAACCTTACATGTACATGGGAATACGGATCCTTATATAGAATATATTTGCATCCTTACCAGATTGTTCAGCTATTTTGTATGCGCAAACAACAGTCCAGTACAGCAAAATGTCAACAAACAGGCACTTTACAACCAAAAACCGACAGACCAGGTTACACAACTGAATCTTATCCATGTTATTACTAACCTGCGTGGAATTGTTCTAAATATCAAAGCTAGCCATTTGTCGGAACAGCAACTTAATCTTCGTTTGTAAGCGGGACAGCTTGAGTTGAATCGACTTCGTCAGTACCAGAATCGGTCAAAGTGGTATACTACTCTGTTGCTTTGCCAGGACACACACCGTTGAGGAGTAGTGTTGCCACTTGGTTTAATACTGTTTTACCTGTCGTCATCAATCCCTGGTTAGGGCAGAAGCGTACAATCAGACGGCCAAGCAAATGTTAACGTCAGCTGATCTTCCTACCTTCTTAAATCGTAAAAGTTTGCATACACCATTATGTACGACGAACATTTTCTCAGAGAAATAGGCCGTGTTTATGTTAACTACCGGTAGATCTCAATTTGGTGTCCTTACAAATGCCTCCTTAGTGAATGGTTCACCTAGTTTCTGTACGTACTAATCGTAAGCGCTGATCTATTCCTTTACTATTAGTCTTAATATTTTGTGCAGTATCAGTGTACTTATTTCTAAGCCACTAAACTTGATAAAATTGGCATTTTAAAAAGCTGAGAAATTGATCGAGACCTACTCAGTTTGAGCCATCTTAAACAATCCATTGAACTAAAAGAAGGACCTAATATTTGTGCCCGTATAATGATGCCTCTGACTGAACGGCGTCCAATTAAGTTCAATAAATGCACCATTTAGTTACCAAGTCACATAATAATCGGCTGCTTCTTAGTGCCGTCATCATAATCCCGTGCTTTTTAACCTAGAAGTGAAACAAATTGCGTCAAGCTAAAGGAGATTTCCTAATTGTGAAAGTAGGTTTTAACGATTACTGTAAAAGGTCAACAAAATTTCAGGCAAGCGCTCGAGGATGCATGTGTAATATAATGTGTTAATTTAAAGTGTAACGTTACTCATTTCAGTCTAAATTTACGCAGTGGAACCTACACAGCTTTGGCAATTATTAACAAAAACATACTCAAAATTTTAAACCATATTATGGATTTGTTGTGTAAACATTAATGTGAATGCTTTTCTATTGCGCGGTTTGATTCTTTTAAGCAATTTCGGTACGCATGCTAAATGCTTACTGATTTTCAATACTCTTCGTTCGAAATAATTGCGTTACTTGCTTTTTGATTGCATCAGCTGCTCAGAAGTTGACTGGTAGGTTTAAGTTTTTATGTTCATCCAAATCTTATGATAAATTTGTGTAACTGAGTACGTGGAGTGTTTGTTTAAGAATATATCGCACTATGAAGCAATATTCAAATGCACTGTATAAAATTTTTTTGATAATGCAATATGTCCAACTATATGTGTTTTCTAAGGGTGGTTTAAATACCTAGTGATGCATCCAATTTAAATTTTGCTGATCATTATTAGGTTACAAGCATATACCTTCAGTGTATTACTCTTAATGCATCTCGAATCCATAAAAGGCAAATCAAATTGATTGCAGTTTCTTAGGCACACATCTTTGATATCCACAGAGATGGAGTTCAAATGATGTTTAAACTCTGGTTTCTCGATTTATTAAATCCTGTCTAGGTGTGATACACGTCCAGTTTCGGAGCTTTGGTTTATCCGGATCCCACAGGTAGAGTAGGTCGTCATGATCTGATGCTCTGCAATGGAAAAAGGAATACATAGGTGGCGCGATGCCTAAAACTAACCACTTAGTAAGAAACAACGGAGAATTAAAACCTACCTTGTGACTGCAGACAAGCCGACATCAAATAATAGCAGATTAGTCGAGAACAAGCGAGCAGATTCTGCAGCTATCTCAATCCAGGCCACGCCCGGCAGGGAAGTGGGAGTTAAAGCTAGGTTAAGACAGGATGATCCCAGGAATGCATTTGATTGTTTTAAAGTGACATCCTGACTGTGTTGGGTTTTCCGGGTGATCTATGCACGGTAATTCCTTGTTGCATTTCTCCTTGCAATGGAATTAGTTCGTGGAAATTATGATCATTTTCACTTCTGCTTCTAATTATTTCAACCATCAATAGTTGCGTCATCGCCTTTCAACTACTGTGACTTTACTGTTGTTTTTGTGTTTCACAACTGGCAGCAAATTTTGTCTCGGGTCATTCAGAATGCCGCAGTATTCTTCTTACGGTGTTTGTGCCAAGGTTATCGGACATCGAGCAAACGTGTTAGGTGTCACGTTAAACTACACCTTTCACTCAGTTGAATATCGATTGAGTACTTTTGACGTTTTCCTGAAATACCACCTGTTTTCATCCAACGTTTGTGTAAAAGTTGCGGAAACCAAATACAGTCGAATAAAACAGAACAGAATCACAAGGTTTATTGTGAGCGGAAGCATCCATTACAAATGCCTTCGTGTGTTAAGCCCAGCAAGCAAACGTTAAGCGTTTCTAGGTTTCAGCAAAACTCTCTTACTCGTCCCGTGTTTGCTCACCGGCAGGAAGTCTTGATATGGCGAATAGCTCTGTTTACCTTAAAACAAATGGTTTATCTCTTGTAATATTTTACAGTCACTGGCGCTTCGTTATCCCTCTATAAATCTACATTCAGTATCGAATAGACATAATCTAGTGAATGTACAAAAAAGAATCAATCGGAAAACTTGTCTCATCATAAATATTTTTCCTCAAGTTAAGCTTGAAAATAGCTGTGATCTTAAAGAAAGCATTTCTTAAAGAAAACGGTATTTTAAATTTCAGCTTGCAATGTCATTAGTTGGTGACAAATAAAGGCACATATAATAGCTAAATTATTATTTGGAAGAGCGCAGCCTAAATGCTTATCACCTTCTAGGTAAGCAAGTAAATGCTACTGAGAGATTAAATATGTTGAAACGCGTTCGTCGTTTCCTTTTTTCTTACGTTCTGGCTATTTCACATATTCAAATATACCGCTGTGATTTATATAGATGGAAAAGTTATAATAAATATTATTTTCTTATCAGCAAAAATCAATAAATGGTTCAATCAAATCGACGAAGGTAAGATAACAGTCTCGCACTTTCTCGTAATCCTTGTACGAACAACGATTTTTCCGTACAAATGGTTATTTACAGAGGTTGGTCAAACATCGTTTTTCTCAAAATATTATTTAAACTAACATTATGCATGTCAGCACCGAGCTAACTTTCTCTAATTTGCACTGGAGTATATGGATTAATCCATTGAGCGCATAATCGTGTAATTCAATTTGCTGCATAGGCAGATGAGATCCACTCTAAGGATTAACGCAGCCGCCGTCCTTCCACAGCATATTATTGTACGCTCATTGGTTTGAACTCATATGATTTAAGGAAAAGCGCAACCTAGGCGACGTTTTATATAATAATATTCACGTAAACGCAGTGTAAAATCCATTGTATCATAACCTCGGAATAATAACTTTGTGGTTAGAAGAAGGTTTTGCAAAAGTTGGATTTCCCCGCTATGTTAAATCACAAATAAGACGAGTGACTTTCCTTAGAAAACATATGTGGCTTTTTTGAAGTAGAGTACTAAGGCAATAATTGCTTAGAAGCGGCGAAGTACAAAATTGATAATTTGCTGAAGTATGTGTTGAGAAAGTTACTCGTAGCTGCTTCACGGTGAACTTAATAAAGAGATCAAAATAAGACGAAATATTCGGCGTCAAAGGTATGATGCGTTGTTCAAGCGTGCCATCATTTTCTTAATCACATATCTGAGCGCCTATCAAATTCACCATGCTATATTTTAATTTAAATCAATGCCATTTAAAACATCATTCTCATATTTTGTCTCCTCATCGTGTCCGATAAAAACGTAGAGCTGTTTCAGGTTGCAGCTTTTCATTTCATTTAACATGTATATCTAATGGGGCTTTGTATTACCCTGGCTACTAAAATCCAGCTAACAATCCGGAACAATGACGATATGGGCAGCTGCTATGGCAGCTGATACCTATTAATTACTATCTCTAACCCGATTGTACAAATCGTATACCTACTAGAGAGAACCCGAATGCTGTCAACCATGATGTTGTGATCAGACAAAAGGAAGCAGTTGCATTCTCTTGCTTTTGGTTAGGAATCAGTGTTACATACTGCGTTCCACCAAGGCTAAATAAATAAATAATATCCCGCTGGTTTTAGTTGTATGTAGAAGCGTTTATTCTGACTCTAGACATTCTAACGCCTCCGCAAGTTAACTTTGTTACTTCGCTGAATAAAATTTATCGTAGCAATTGTTAAGATACAAACCAACTCACCAGCGCTGCTAACAGGTAATCAGTTTTAAAGGGTTTTTCCTCAGCCTTGTGCCCATAGGCTAGTTAATAAAGAAAGTCTTACCTCAGGTGTCTGCATTACATCAGAGAGCCATGACAGAAATAAAAGCTGTTGGGAAGAAGCTGGATTGCGCTCAAGCTCGCATCGAAATAGTTTCAAGTCTTTTGTGAGTAGTGAAATAAAGGTAACCAAAAAGAGCGGCAAAACGTCGTTGGTTGCCAGCGGAACGTACTTAATCCTGTCCTAGTGTGTATAAAGCAGATATTGCCATAGGTTACATTTCTTGGAACGATTGCCATAAAGGTTGTTTCATTTTCGGTACTGTAGACCGAACATTTTGAGATGCATTTTAGATGTCTGAGAATCCGTAATAGGAGTGCACAACTTCACCGACTAAACACAAAGTTTATACAAAGCGACTACTAATATCAATAAGTTGCCACCTGCGGTTTATTAGTTAGGAGTGTTAACAAAGGAGAACACAAAACAAGGACCTTTCTCCAAAACTTCAAACAACTAGGCTATCAATTTTAAGATAACTGAAGTCAATTTTAAAGTTAAGCAAACGGGGATTACTTTGCTACAAATTGAATCCAATAATGCCGCTGGCATATCTTAGCCTAATATAACAGTTCCTTGTACAACATATTATAATTACTCTACAAGCAACCATATGCATATTGCCACGTCAGTGACCACACATATGTACACAGAAACTGTGATCCTATTTTCGGAAGTCGGAGTTATTACACTCAGTGGTTTCAGATTTCGTTTACCATGCAGAGTTCGACCGTTATCAGGTTCTCTGCAGCTCATGTGAATTTATGCTGCAACTGGTGGTGTAAATATACCATCATAAGTATATTTTCACTACACTGTCACTGTATCTCATCAAATTAAAATATTAGCGGCCACTACTAAATTAGTGGTAGCCACAGACCATCTATACTAGTTCATCCAGCTGCAATAGCTCAACATCGTCATCCAAGGAGAGCAATTGTGACAAACAGTTTTCAGGTGCACGATCAACATTCATGTCCAAGTATATTAATGCTATAAATATAGAGTGGATCAAATTGGATTTGTCAATGTTGCTGATGGTGGCAGATATTGTCTTGCGTAAACTGCAGAATAAGTATTCGAAGGGATCCGGCAACAACTGTGTGTTGTGCCCAATAGGTAGATGATATAATTTTTGATTGTGCCGCGAATCTGCGTATGTTCAGCAGCAACCTAGAAGGCAAATATTTCTTGCTGAATCTAGCTGTTTATTTTAACATAGTACCTAAATGGTTACAGCGGCAATGCTTGTCATGTTAACTTGGATTATGTCCGCAAGGAAGACTTACCCCCTTAACTCAAGGAGACAAAAAGCAAAATATTTTTGCAGCAATACCAGAGAGCTCGTATAGAAGCTCTTGAAGTAACCAGAAACTAACTTATTTCTGTTACTGCATAAACGGTTACAGTTAGAAATTCAGTGATATTCGGACGGACAACCTGAGCGGTTTTCCTTGGCTAATTCAAACATACCTTGCTGTCAAGCTGCACGTAAGCTTTACCTCACTAACAGTTGCACGCCAGCGGCAGGTTTTCATTGTAGGTATTAATACTCTGGGTAGTTTTGTACAAAGTACATTTGGAACACGGTCACTTGATTATTAGTCAGAGCTCCAAACTTTTGTACAGATTTATTCTACAACGGAGTGAAGAAAAAGTACAAATCCAGTTTGGCTTTGCCGATCAAAACTTGCTCACCAAAACCAGGTTGCGTGAGTTCCAGTTAGTTGACTGTATGACGGTTTGCCCTAGCCCGTAGGCTTAAGAACCAGCCGGGAGCTGGCATTAAAATCACAAGCATGTCTTTCAAACGGAGCGCACATGTTCCAGGCTGCATAAGGGACCGGGTGAATGTCGCAACACATTTAGCCAACACTTAACTGGTGGTGGTTGCGCGATATCGAAGAGACGACACGGCGT